TGATTTTAGGTCATTTGTATATATAATAAAGAATGGGACAGCTGAGTCAAATGGTGATTCCATTCCTAGTTTTTTTAGGAATCTCTATTCTCATCTCCAGAGTGGTTACACTAATTTACAGTCCCACCAACAATGTATGAGGGTACTTTTTCCCTACAACCTTGCCAATATTGATTATTTGTATTCTTGATAATTGCCATTCTGACTGGAATAAGGTGAATTCTCATTTTAGTTTTTCTTTGCATTTCCCTGATTGTTAAGGATGTTTAACAGTTTTACATATATTTGTTATCCATATGTATTTCTTCTTTTGAGAAGTGTCTGTTTAGTTCTTTATCCCACTTATTAATTGGGGTTTGTTGTTGCTGTTGTTGTTAAATTTTTTGAGTTCTCTACATATTCTGAATATTAACCCCCTATCTGAAAAACAGGTGTCAAAAACCTTTTCCCATTCTGTATGCTTTTTTTTTCTTAATTATCTTCTTTACTGAGCAGAGACTTTTTAATTTGATGCTGTCCCACTTATTTATTCTGGGTTTTATTTATTATAATTTATGAGTTTTGTTAAAGAACATAATTTCTGTGCCAATATGTTGGCATGTTGTCGTACATTTTATTTTAGTGGTTGCAAAGTTTGGGGACTAATTACTAGGTCTTTGGTCCACTTTGAGTTTACTTTGATGGACAGGGGTCAACTTTCAGTCTTCTACATATGAATATACAACTTTTTGAGCACCATTTGTTACAAAGGGGTATCTTTTCTCTGATGTATGTGTTTTCCATCTTTATCAAGCATCACATAATTATCTATGAGGGTTTGTCTCATGTTTCTTATTCTATTACTTTTGTCTTCAGGTCTGTTATGGTGCCAATACCATGATATTTTTGTTATTCTGTAGTAAAATTTTAGGTTCACTGTGATTCCTCCAGCATGGCTCAGGGTTGCTTTGGCCATTCTTGATATGTTATTCTTCCAAATTAATTTAAGAACTTTTTCCTAGTTCTTTGTTTAATGCCATGTGTATTTTGATGTGGTTTATATTAAATTTGTATAATATTCTTGGTAATATGGTCATTTTGACAATATTAAATTTGACTATCCTCAACACAGGAGCTTTTTTCCATCTTTCAAGTCTTTCTTCAGTGCTATAATCTTCTCATTGTAGTGGTCCTCCACTTTCTTCATTCAATTAATTCCCAAGTATTTTTCCAAAGTTATTGTAATAGAATAGTAGTTTTCCTAATTTTTTTTGAGCAGATTCATTATTGATATATAGGAAAGGGATCAGTTTATGTACATACAGCTTGTATCCTCTGACTTTATTAAAATTTGTTTATCATCTCTAAAGGTCTTTTGGTGAGTTTGGGGTTTATTAATTATAAGATTATGTCATCAGCAAGCAGTGATAATTTGACTTCCTTTTTTTCCTGTTGTATTACTTTAATTTCCTCTTTTACCTGATTGTGCTAGCAAAGTTTTCGAAGAATATGTTGAATAGGAATGGTGAGGGTAGTAATCTCTGCCTTGTTTCTTTTTTTAGAAGAAAAGTATTCAGTTTTTCTCCATTGAGTATGATATTGGCCTTGGGTTTGTCACACATAACCTTTACAATATTGAGTTAAGTTTCTTCTATTCCTAGAGAACTAATGTTTTAAACATAAATGGGTGCTGGACTTCATCAAATGCTTTTTCTACATCTATTGAGATAATCGTGTAATTACTGTCTGTAAATATTTAAGTGGCAAAATGACATTGATTGATTTGAATCTTTGTTGAACTAAGTTCATTCTCATGGAATGAAGTGCACTTTATTATTGTAAATTATCTTCTTAATACATTTTAATGTAGTTTGTCAGTATTTTGTTAAGAATTTTTGTATCTCTGCTCATCAAAGAGATTGTGCTGAAATTTTCTTTCTTTGATGTGTCTTTGTTTAGTATCAAGGTGATTCTGGCTTCATAGAATGAATTTGGCAGTGATCCCTCCTTTGCTATTTTGTGGAATAATATAAGAAGTATTGATATTAACTCTTCTTTAAAGATCTGGAAGAACTCAGCTGAGAATCCATCTGGCTCTGAGCTTTTCTTTGTTTGAAAGCTTTTAATAGTTGCTTCAATTTAGTTACTTGATATTAATATTCTTCAATTGTCTATATCCTCATGGTTCAATTGGGGTAGGTCATATGTCTTTAGGAATTTGTCAATAAATTCAAGATATTTCAGCTTACCCGAATAGGTTTTATGCATCATCTTTGCCTGTAGTATTTGCAATAATATCTCTTTTTTAATCTTTAATTTAGTTAATTTAGGTCTACACTGCCTACGTTTGGCTAGGGTTAACAAACCTAAGGGGAACTTCAAAAAAAAAAGAAAACCAAATCTTTGTTTCATTGATCCTTTGAAGTTCACTTTATCTGATATGAAAGTAGTTCCCTGCTCACTTCTAGCTACAATTTTCATGGTATATCCTTTCTCATCATTTTATCTTAAGTCTGTGGATGTCTTTGTCTGTAAGATGAGTCTCTTGCAAATAGCATATTATTGGGTCTTGTTTTTTAATCCCATATGCCAATCTATGTCTTTTTTATAAATATTTTTATTAATTATTGATGGACCTTTATTTATTTAATTGCTTGAATCAAACCCAGTGCCTCACACATGCTAGGCAAGCGCTCTACCACTGAGCCACAACTCCAGCCCACCAATCTATGTCTTAATTGAAGAGTTTAGACTGTTTAATTCAGTGTTATTTCAGGAAGATGATTTTTACTGCCATTTTATTTATTTCTAACATTTAATTTAGAATTTATTCTACTTTTTTATCCACTGAAAAAATGCTTTTATTTTGCATACAAATGATGGGCAGATGCTATACCCATAAACTATATTTTCCATAATAATTAGGAATCTGTTTTTTTTAAAAAAAGAAAAGAAAAGAAAGAAAGAGAGAGAGAGAGAGAAAGAGAGAAAAAGAAAACTATACAAAAAAATTTAAAAGATGCTGGGATTTCTTTGCTTCTAGATCATTGCTGGGAAAGGGAGGGAGTTTTCTCTAACATGAATCACAAATTAGAACTGACTATTCTCTAAAGCAGAAATAGTATAGTGCCATTTCAACTAAAGATTATTCACTCTCCTGACAAACACCCACAGTAACCAGCCAAGAATAGGCAAACCAGGTTAAACAGCCCAGCATAACTAGGCTTCATGTATTGGGCTATTAATCCCCTTTAAGCTCATAAATCAAAACAGAAAATACTGAAATAAAAATAAATGATTTTGAGATTGTAATACAAATTGTTAGTTTCTTGTTGTATCCTCCCTTCTATAACATAATAAAGGGAACATTTTACTATAAAGAAAATTTTGTTTTATATATCACTGGACATGAACTTGTAATTAGTTATTACACAAATGCTGCCCAGTGCCATTATCCAAATGGAATCGCCATTCTGTCCACAATCTACTTGTGCATTTGTAAACAGAATTTTCATGATTTATGAAATAATTAACATGTCTATCAATAAAGATGTTACAATGAAGTACAATCTAACATCCATAATCTGATGCTTTGCAGATAGCAATGTAGGAGGAAAGTATTTGTAATCACCTTTCACTTCACTGACCTTACATAAAAATAAATAATTTAGAATTAAATTCTAAGTCTCTAAAAGAGATTTTCAAATGTACATATAGAAATGGTTACAGAGAGTGCTATTTTTAAGAAACGTTCTCCATGTCCATATCCTGTTGTAACTGTTGTACCATTTTTTTCTTCCTTGGCCTCCAAGAGGGGATCAGATAAGATGGATGTTTTGCTTGATTCCTTTAATGTCCTGAACTTTCTGTAGCTCTTTATTTTTCTTCAATCTGATTTAGCATCGTGTTTCTATTTAATATCTTCAACTTTCTTCATTGCATCCTAACCTTATTCTATAGTTCTTGCTGGTATTTGACAGATTCATTTCAATGTTTTTCAAATTCAAATGAATTATCCACCATAAGCTCCTTACCAGCTGATTTCTGGGATGCTTTAGTCCACCTGATTATGGAGGATTATGCTTCTTTTTAAATTTCTTTATGACATTTGGATTTACCAAATCTGAATACCTTATAATCGTTGGGGACAAACATCATGTCATGACCTGGATAGATGGTCCCTGAACAGAAATAAAACTTCTCAATGCACATGTTGATGCTACATGGGAGCCCACCAACCAAACGGCCAGCTGGGGAGTAAATTCTCCTTTAATTTACTATGATTCTAGTATAATTCATGCCTATGCTTCTTTTTATTTTTATTTTTCTGCGTAAAATATTTTATTGAGTATATTTTATAGTGCAGGTTTATTGGTTGTGAATTCTTTTAGTTTGTATTTACCATGGAAGATTTTTATTTCATTTTCAATTCTAAAGGACAATTTTGCTGAATATAGTAATCTAATTGGCACTGATTTTCTTTCAGGTCTGGTTAGTCTACTATGTCATACACAGCAGTAATAACTGCAGCAACAATAATGGTGTGGGCAGAATTTATATAAACCAATTTATTCTAAAAGATGGCAAAAATACACTTTATAAAGATAGAAGATAATGTGATAGGAAGGTAGAACAGAGTTTACAATGTCCAAAAGTAAATAGAGACAATGCAAAAGAGATAAGCAGGTGATGGTTATAAGGATAGAGGAGAAAATAGGGAGAAAAAAAAAGGAAAGAGAGAGAGAAAGATCAAAAAAAGTGACTTTTTTAGTGGGAGAAGAGAGAAATGGAAACAAGGAAAGCAAACAAAATAAAATAACCTCGAAATAAACAAACCAAAGCCCTAACCCTCAAGATAAGCAAGAAGAAACACGTACATTTAAAATGTTAAAAGTGATGGGGCTGGAGTTGTAGCTCAGTGGTTGAGCACTTGCCTCCTATGTGTGAGACACTGGGCTCGATTCTCAGCACCAAATAAATAAATAAAGATATTGTGTCCATCTACAACTAAAAAAAATGCTAAAAAAAAAACCAAGTATATATAAACATATATGTCCATGCAAATCAAATTGTGACCTGAGCAATGGAGCCCAGGCACCATCCCAACACTAAGGACAAAGAAGGCAGTAGTGTTGCAGATAAGATGGAAAAACAGCCTGAGGAGCTATGTGCACAGCCACTGGGGCCATGGGATAAATGTTTTTTACAGCTCTGAGAGCAAAAATTGATGCAGCTGTACCAGAGACTGCAAAGATAAGGGAGTTTCAAGATAAAGAGGCCTTGAGAGTCAAAGTATGTTTGCTGAAGCAAGATCTACATACCTTGAAAATATCCCTTTGCCTCTCCCAAAGTCTGAAGAGGAGGAAGTGGAAGATTAACACCTGTAAGCCCAACGATTGGTAATGCAGAAATGAAACAGCAGCAGCAAATGGCTCTGATTCTTGCAGGTAAGTCACCTATACTGTTCAGTGTTTCATACACTGATGACCAGCTGTGGAAAACTGCTTGTGTGGAAGGCAGTGGCTGTAAAGTCAGAAATAGACGCTGTCTGGTTTGATAGCAGTACAAAACAAGCAAGTCAGTGAGCTGAGCTGAATGGTGATAGCAAAAGAAGCATCCCCCATAGTGATATGTACTGACAGTTGTGCTGTGGAGGGGCCACAGGTGGCCCCTGTGCTTTCCTGGGACTCAGAGATGGCATGCATTCTCTTGGATGGATGTGCTTTACTTGTACTAATACCTGTAATTGCTTTGTCCTTTCATCTATAGGCATTTCCTCACCAACACCATTGTGAACTGGGCACACACCTACACCAGAATAGCAAAAACCTCTGCCTGCTGGGTATTGTATGCTCTGAAGTGCACCAATGAGTTCTTCTGGACAGCCCTGGGGGTTAATAGGGGGCTAAAATGGAACTGGCTGGGGGTTGAAGCTGAACCTGGAGGCTGAAGGCTGTCATCATCTCTGAAAAAAAAAATTCTACAATCCTGTGTCTTGCATATTTTTCCACCTGTCAGACCACAAATCTGTTTCCTTGAGTCTCCACATGACAGCATCCTACAGATAAGTATAATTCTTAGATGTCAATTAAAAAGGGAAATGTAAAAAAAATCATTGCTGTAACAATAACATCTTCCCTATGTTTGCCTCTACAAGTTTGATGCTTTCAGGAATTACATTTGTCTTAAATCTGTTTTTAATTAATTTTTATGTGTAATGTTATAAATAAATCTAATTTCATTTTTTTTTGCATGTGGATATACAGTTTTCCAAATACTCTTTACAGAAAAGACTATTCTTTCCCCAGTGTATATTCCTCATCCTTTTATGAAAAACGTAAGTTTATTTCTGCACTCTGCATGGAGTCCTTGGTTCTATGTGCCGTATTATGCCTGCATTCTCATGTTTTGCCTGCTGTAGGTATGCATATAATTCAGTGCCTACAGACTTCTTCTTGTATAAAATTTCATGGGCCATTCAGAATCTTTTGCGGTTCTAAACAAATTTTAGGATTTTTAAAATTTCTATGAAAAAGGCCTTGGATTATTCACAGGGACTACATAAAACCTGTACATCAACTTAGGCTGTAACAATAATTAATATTTCAATTCATAATCATGGATTATTTTTCCATGTATTCTGTCTTCTATGACTTCTTTCATTGATGGGTTTTATATTTCAGGATACAGATTTTTCACTTCCTGGGTGAAATTTGCTACTAAATATTTTTATCTTCTCATGCTATTGTAAATGAAATATTTACTTATTGTTTATCAAATAGTTTGTTTTTTAAAACTCTGCTGAATTGTGTATGTTATTTACATATGCTAAATCTATAGAATTAATTTATTAGTTCTAATTGTTTTCGGTTGAACTTTAGAGTCTTCCATGTGTACATTACATCTGATGGAAACAGAGACTCTTACTTTTCTTTTTTAACTTCTATACATTTTAGTTATTTTTATTGCTTAATTGTCCTGGCTTGCACTTCAGACCTATGTTGAGTAAAACTGGCAGACTCAGTATTCTTGCACTTTCCCTAATTTTTTAGGGAAAACTTTCAAGTTTCACCATGGAGTGTGATGTTAGTTATTGGTTTGTCATGTGTGTTTTAGTGTGCTAAATGACACTATTATTGTGTCATTTTTTAAGGTTTTCTCAGAAAAGGATTTGAAATTTGTCAAATGCTTTTTCTGCACCCATTGAAATGGTCATGTTCTTGTCCTTCATTGTATCACTTTTACTGATTTATGTACATTGGATTATCCTTAGAACTCTGGTATGGATCCTGCCTGATTGTGGTGGATGAACTTTTTAATCTGCTGGAGCAGATGCAGGTAAAATGAAACTATTCTTCCTAGCAGTTTGAGAAATTATTATTTTTTGGTTTTTGTTGTTTATTTTGGTACTGAGGATTGAACCCAGGGGCACTCAAACACTGAGCTATATCCCTGGCCCTTTTTAATATTTTATTTAGAGACAGGGTTTTGCTAAGTTGCTTAGGGCCTTGCTAAATTGCTGATGCTGGTTTTAAACTTGCAATCCACCTGCTTCAGCCTCCCAAGCTACTAGGATTACAGGTGTGCACCATTGCACCGAGCTGAGAAACTATTTTTGAGTTTTTACAACATAGTGTTACTATTGTGGACTCCTCTGAGTCTCCTTGGGCTTTTTTATTTTGTGGGTAGTTCTCTCAGGAAAAGGGAGTAAAGGGCTAGGATATCCTATTTCACCATTTCATTGACAGACTATCACATAGCTGTTTCTTAACATATGTATAGCTTTCTTCTTGAAAGAAGTTTATATTTTGATATCACTATTTATTATTGTACATTTATATTTCTTACCTGAGAATGAGTACATAATGTTTTATTTGGTTCACTCAGCTGAATGAAATGCCCACCTTTTCTTTCATATTTATAATTATTGTTATTTTAGTAGAGCATTACAGATATACATAGTAGTTGGGTTTATTTTAACAAAATCATACATACATTGACTTTTACTCAATTACACTTTCTGTTCCCTTTTTGTCCTTCCTACCCAATTCTGCTTCCTATACTCTACTATCTTCCTTCACTCATTTATGTATTTATTTTTGATTGGAACTTTCTAAATCTGCATGAAGGTGGAATTCCCTGTGGTATATTTATATGTGCACAAAAATCACGTAACATGTGATTTGTAAATTCATTACACATTTCCTCCCCTTTCCTATCCCTCTACCTCCTCCTGGGTATCCTTCTCCACTAATCTATATCTTTTTGATACATGATCAGTTCTACTTTGTTTTCCTTATTTAGTTCTAGTTCCACATATGAGAAAAAACACTCCATCCTTAATTTTTCTGAGTCAGCTCATTTCACTTAGCATGATGTAGAGAAGTTTACTTTTGATGGTCATGAACATAACTACAAAGAATGCATCAGATAACATCTTGAAGGAATGTTCTACTTGCAAAACACTTTCATTTTTGTTTAACTTTTTCAAAAAATTACAGAAAATGACATTAAGACAAGGGTAGAGGCACATTAATTACACCTTTGCCATTTTGATATTTTGATTCTGAGTCAAAATAATAAATGTTTCTCTTATCCCAGATACACTATTTCATTTCACTATTTCTAACAATGGAAGATTTAAAAGGCAAATGGAAACATCAAAGCCCACAGAGAGCATTTGCAAAGCAATAATCTCTTAATGATTTGTCTCATGAATACATTTAATTAAAAATTAAGCATTAATTTACTTACCCTTTGCAAGCCACTGGAAGAGCATGGGCATACTTACATTGCTTAAAGACTTCTTGATGTTTTTAGCATCTATTTGAAGAATATTCCCAAGAATTGGGAGAGGAGTAGGGCCAGGTGGGAGCTTCTCTCTCCCAGACTTCTGTCTCCCTAGTGAAAGCAGAAGCAAACAGAAGAAACTCAGAAGCAGGACCATAGCTGGATCCATTGATGCCTTCTCCTTTCATTGAGACAATTGTGAGTTTACAGTCAAGGTAAAGCTTTTATATTTCTCCCTCATAATTAAGAATGTGTCCTGTTGACATAAAAGTGCAGAGCCAATCAACTAGATAAATTCTAATCCCTTCTGAGTGTCCATTGGTCACCTGATAAAGATAAAAATAAATTATGTTTACTCTTTCTCTTCTTTACAAATCTCTATCCTTGACCATCTGGTTTGGCCATTCTGGGACAGAGCACAAGAACAGAGAATTTAAAAAAAAGAAACAAACAAATAAACAAGGACACAACCTCTGGTGATACTATGCCCGTGCCTTGAACTCACCCCTGCCTGGCTCTCTGACCAGATAGCAGCCCTCTCTGAAACTTTAGTGACACCTCATAAATATTGGTCTTCCCTGGCCAGACAACGACCCTCTCTGAGGCTCTAATGGTCCTCATAAATTCTGATGTTGGGGCCAGCAAAAAATGTAAACTACCATTTGTGTTATGCTCCTCAGAGTTCTGTTATCTGTAACCCCCCTTTGTGTAACTTTCTGGGCTATAAGGCTGGGCTGCAGGAAAGATGAGGCTGCTGTCTTATTCCCTCGGTTTTGGGTGGGAGAGGCAGCCTGGCCAGTAGAAATAATAAGGTTGCTTTAATTTGATTTTAATTGGAGTCAATGGTCTTTTCTTGCATCCTGGTCTAACACTTGTGATAATTTATCAAACAGTAGGAGACAGTTTGTGTTTGAAGTCTTTTAAATATTTTAAAGAATTGAACTAAAATCACAACTGCCTGAATATAAAAATATGTAGTTAAAATCTATACATTTTAAAAGACTATATAAATAGTTAACTAAGAAAATATGGAATTTGCCATTTAGAATTACCCCTCCCCCACAAAAAAATCTGAAGAACAGAAAGCAGTGTTTTTGTTTGGTTGGTTGGTTGTTTTTTTTTCTTGTTTTGTTTTGTCAAATGGGTCAGGGAAACTCTGCAAAAACAGGATACCATTATCTCATACAATTCACTGTGGATAGAACTGGAATTTAAATGAACTCTTTTTACAACCATAATGGTGCACTATGACACCACAGCTGACTAAAAAACCACATTAGAAAAGTGAAACAAACACTCCCTATAGTTACTCTGAATGCACACTACACTATGTTTATAGACCAACAAAGTTCCCATCAAGTCTATACTCATTATTTCACTCCAAGCATAGCCGGATCAGAGAGTCTACCAAAGGAGAAGAGGCAGATTTGGTTTCACCTCTCTCCATCACTAAACGGTGAACCATTCTTGGCAGGACTGAGGAAGAGCGAATCTCAGAGAACTGAAAGGAGAAGGCTTGAGAAACTATGTCTTCACTGTCCCCAGTCATTTCCAGATGGGACTGCTTCTGTTGCAGTTTTTTATGCTCTTGTCAGGTGTAATGGAATTAAATGTTGGACCACAAGCAATGATATTTAATATAGAAAAACAGCCATGTTCTTTGGAGGCAGGTGGGAGGGACTACATCAAACATACTCCAAGCACAGAGGGAACAATATGCAAATCAAAATAGAAGAATACATTTTGTAGTCATGATTCAATACGTCATTGGACTGATGTATACTACTATGTCACTAACCTGGTTACTATGGTTATTTATAAGCTATTTAGTAAGAAAATTTAATTTATCAAGATCCCATTTACATAATGTTTATCTTCCTAATCTCATTTTAGGAATGAGGAAGCTGGACCTCAGAAACTGGCTTCAGAGACTGGCTTTGAGATAAGGATCCTCCTACTTGAACCTCCCATCAGAGATGAACAGTGGGGGTTGGTTTTGGATTGGATGTGATTCTGGGAATTGAACCTAGGGCCTTGTGCATGCAAAGCAGGCATTCTATCAACTGAGCTATATCCCCAGCCCAAGGCAGAGGGATTTTTAAAGAACATATTCATTCCCGCCCGAGGGGGGGGGCGCGATTCACTTATTAATTTGGGAGGGGCCATTCCTTAGCTCTCTGGCATCATCCCTAAAGTCTTAATTACTTGGTTCCCATAGTAGGTGTGTGCTCAAATATAGATAACTTGGATTATGGTGGGAAAAAGATAATCCTCTTCCTGGCCCCCAGGTTGGGAGGGGGAAGAGGAAGAAGAGGAAAAGAAAACATTATTCATTTTAAAATGAGCCTCAGTGGAAGAGCAGCAAGGATTCTATTTAAAGCATGAGGTAAGCACTGGTACAACATGATAAAGTTTATCTACCAAAAATCTACATAAAACATCATTCTTAACACTGGTATGTTAAACCTCCACACTTTCCTACAAATGAGAATTGAAACAATCACACCTCTACCACCCATTCTGTTCAGTGCTGTGCTAGAAATTCTAACCAGTGAAACAATAACAGCAAGAAATTAAAACATGAGAATTAGAAAATATTAAATAAAAATATTAAGCCAGATAATGTACCTTGTAATTCCAAATAAATCTATAGATAGATCATGGGCAATGAATGCTAAATTTCACAAGAGTTCTAAATATAGGATAAAAAATGATTAAATTAATTGTATTTCCATATAATAAAAGATTTATAAGCCACGGTACCAAACACAAAACATTAAAAAGAACATAATGTGCAGCCCAAATAAATTGGAAATGTACTTTATTTATGAATTGAAAAGTCAATGGGTCAAGATATTGTTCTTTCCAAATGCATAGCAGATTTCTCTCACCATGATAAAAACCCCAGATGAGTCATTGGGGAAATGGACTAAAAAGACCTAAAACAATGTTAAATTGACAGAAGAAATTTGGAAGACTCGCACTGCCAAATGCCAGTTCCTTTTCTAAAGATTTATAACCCAAAATCAAACCATGAAAAACCCAATAAGTAGTCAAAGGTAAGGTTTTAGCACTTTTGTCCCGTGCAGAAGTTTGGAATCATATGGTGATTTGGGGAATATTGAGAACAATACAGTGCAGCATAGAAGAAACCCACCTTGGGAATAAGGTAGTTTCTGAATTTAACATCAGAGGTCATTGCATGGGGCTGGCTGGTGAGAATGAGGTCTGTGTATGGAAGACAAAACAGCACCTGTCTAGGGCATGCAGCTCCTGTCTGCATGCAAGGGATCCACTGTCGACAACCACACAATCTCTTCCTAGACTCTAGATGGTAAGTCACTGTTTCTACTTTGGGCTATAAATCTTTAGAAGAGGAGCTGGTATATGGCAGTGCGAGTCTTCCAAGTTTCTTCTGTCAGTTTAATATTGTTTTAGTTCTTTGTCAGGTTGGTGGTGGTGACTTAGGACGAAGCAGCCCAGACGGGAAAGAAACATCAGTCAGGCGTCAACGGAAACGCCTGTCAATCAACAGGGTCTCCTGGCCAATCCTGGAGTTCAGCCAGCTCCCCTACCAATTCAAATGGGACAAGGGACTCTAAAAACACCTTTTCCTGTCCCAAGCCCTTCCCTTCCGGCCAAGAGCCCCCATAAAATTCCAGTCTGGTCAAGTCCCCACACGTTTTCTCCTCAGACCCTTCTCCTGTCCACTCTGTGGGTCTGATCGAGTTCCACCCTGGAGTGACATCTCAATAAAGCCTCCTTCCCCTCATTTGGCTTCCTTTTAAATCTGCCTCCTTTGGTCGCCTCCTGCTACCTGATCTCACAGTCTTCTTAAGTGTTTACATTTCCAAATGTATATTTATCATTCAGTTTGTCAATTCACCCATTGACTCATCTGGGTCTTTTACCATGGTGAGGGTAAATCTGTGATGCATTTGAAAAGAACTGATATGTGACCAATGGATGTTTCAGTTCATAAATAAAACATGTTCTCTTTAATGTTTTGTGTTCAGTACAGTGGTTTATACATTTTTTATTAGGATTTTCCTGAATAATAAAAATGTTTTGTTATTACAATTTTTATAATGTCCGTCATTTCTTTTTGTGGAAATAGAATTCATTTAATCATATTTTGACCTTATAATCTTATATTTGGAACTCTTGTGAAATTTGAAGGATACGGAGAATAAGTCCAAGGACATTTCCCTTAAACTTTTGTCTTTTAAAATCCCAGGCCTCAGGCAGAACAAAGAACACAAAAGGAACTTGCACCTCACAGACCCGACCCTCTGCAACCTAATGGGACCCTCCTGCAACCTAATGGGACACTGCCTACCAATACAATAAGCCCCAGAAAATTCCCTGTTGACACTCCTGTACCACGTGAATGCCAAAACAAAGGTCCCCAGGAAATTCCCTTCTGTCCTACCCTAAAGGAAGCCTATATAACCCAGACCATTTTCTGCCCCCCAAATGAGCCACACCAGGGTTCTACCAATGAACTCCACTGCTAAATACTGAATAAAGAAAAGCCTGCTGGTATGAGCTTTCCTTCCTGTCTCCCTCCTTTTTCACGTGTGTGTCATTTGTCCTAACACAATTTACTATTCCTTGCCAATGACCTATCTGCAGATTTATTTGGAATTACAAGGTGCATTATCTGGCTGATTGGATTAATCATTTTATTTAGCATTTTCTAATTCTCATGTCTTAATTTCTCTGTGGTATTGTTTCACTGGTTACAATTTCTAGCATAGCATTGAGTAGAATTGTTGGTAGAGATATGCTTGTTTCAATTCTCATCTGCTGGAATGTATGGAGGTTTAACATATTAATGTTAAGAATGATGTTTTATGTACATTTTGGTAAATGAACTTTATCATGTTAGGAAAGCTTGCCCTTCTTGTACCAGTGCTCTACCTCATGCTTTAAATAGGGTCCTTGCTGCTCTTCCACTGAGGCTCATTTTAAAATGGATGATGTTTTCTTTTCCTCTTCTTCCTCTTCCCCTTCCTAACCTGGGGCCAGGAACACAATTACCTTTTTCCCACCATAGTCCAAGTTATCTGCACACACCCACTATGGGAACCAAGTAATTAAGACTTTAGGAATGGTGCCTGAGAGCTAAGGAATGGCCTTTCCCAAATTAAGAAGTGAATCACAACCGACACAGGGGAATACCTGGAATGAATCATTCTTTTAAAATGCTTTGTTCTTCCTATGGGAGAATCTCCCTAATAGAAGAATCACAGCCTCCAATCCCAGCAGCTTGGGAGGCTGAGGCAGAAAGATTGCTAGTTCAGAGTCAGCCTCAGTAACTTAGTGAGGCCCTAAGCAACTCTGAGAGACCCTGCCTCTAAAAAAAATATTAAAAGAGCTGGGGATGTGTCTCAGGGGTTAAGTGCCCCTAGGTTCAATCCCCAGTACCAAAAAAAAAGAAGAAATCAAAAAAATTAATAGTAGTGGGGAGGGGGGCAGGTAATGGGAAGGGACAATGTGGAAGATTAGAGGTACCCAGGGGTCATCTGTTTCTCTGCAAGATAGAATCAAGTAACAGGTGTGTAACTGTGTTGGTAAAGATGGTGTCCGGAGTGCTTCTCTTCTGGGAGTCAGGTCCATGATGCACTGAATGCACAAACTACCACCTAAGTGGCGCAAATCATCACCTCCAATCCCTGAAATGGCAAGAACTGTGACCTTCAACCCCTAGGAGACTCATACCCTGTCCTGCCCAGAGACTGACTCTCCATTAATAAAGAAGTAACAGCCCCTGCTTCCCCTCACCTACGTTAAGCCCATAAATATCAACACCCTGCTCATGCTCGCTTTCTCTCTCTCTCTCTCTCTCTCTCTCTCTCTCTCTCTCTC